AACTTTAAATTAAGACTCAAAGAAAAGACACGATAAGACATGTATGGCCAAACAGGCATTTATTCGAGGTAATCACCTTGGAAAATTGTACCCTGATTTCAGTGTTGTTGCCATTATCAAAATGCATTGGATTCTCTGTGTGGGGATGGCCTTTGGAAGTGGTCTGTGAGTCATATTAGAAGATCACCATATTACCTTTACAATCAGGTACTGTTTCAACTAGAGATGGCACTGAACTTGACCATCTTTTTGAGTCATGTGAATTCTGAATGACCAATTAGTATTTCCAAAAATAAAGAAAAAAGAATATAGAATGGAATCCCTGACTTTCCAGGGGGACTTCTGAAAGAGTGGTCGATGCCCACCATCTCTGTGTCCTCCTCTCCTCTTCTCAGTTTACTGAAGGGACACAAGGGCATCCAGGAAACCCACTTCTCTCTTCAAGGTTCCTAATGACCACCTAACTGCCAAATCCATGTTCTAGTTTCAGTCCTTGTTCCTCTTAACCTTTCCAGAACTTTTGTATTGTTGATTATCCACCCATCCATTCATCTATTCATTCACCCAACCAGAAGACATATATTTTTTGATTGTCTATGTCTAAGGAAGGTGCTAGGGTCAGGGGATGGAGAGCTAAGCATGGTCTTGTCATTATAAAGCCTCGCTCAGGAGCGATAGACATTTAAAAAAATGAACTACATTATAATTTAGTTACAAATGTGATAAGTACCACACACAGAGCAATATTAGACTCTAACAGAATATCAAAATACTTATTTTATGTAGGTGCATTGTATGTTTATACACCCCCTCCCCAAACACAAGAGTAAAGAAAAACCAAAGTGCATATTTGTTCACCCTTTGAGGCTTCATTTCCCCCAATTCCATGAGGGTTCCATTGGAGGCTGTAAGGGCCTTCATTTTTCAAGCCATTGAGACCTGAATGTCTTCCAGGTGGACAGGCCTGCTCTACCTGCCTCTACCCAAGGTCAAACCTCAGATCTGGTCATGACACTGTGGGCACGCCAGCAGGGGAGAAAGCCATAGGTAAAGGGACAGAGAGGTAGAGCTTGCCTCCAAGACTGTGACAACCTGTCTCAGGTTGGGATGAGGAGGTTGTGGGGTGGGAAGGGAGATACCCTCAAGGGAGAGACACTCCTTCATCCTCTCTCTCCTCCACTTCCTGGACACCGCTTTTGCATGGCCAGCCCCTTCATCTCTTCTGCATTGCCCTTTCTCCCCTGGCTCCCTTGGGTCTTGGTGTTTGTTTGCTACTCTCCTCTCTGGATTGCCTCGATGTCCCACCTGCACCTCTGCCTTCAGCTACCACCTGCAGACCCCCAGCTCTTGAGACTGAACAGTCAGCAGCTACCTCAGATTTAGCACGTCCTCACCAGGGCCCCTTCCTCTCTTTCTCACAGGCCCAGTCTGCCCCCTCTTCTATTTCTTAGGAGAGCAGTAAAAGGAGGTCCATTCAGATGCTCGAGCTTAAGACTGGCCGGCAGCCTAGCCTCCCCGCTCTTCCTTCTTTCTCACCTCCTATTGATTCTCATTCAGAATTGCCTCTTGTTTTTGTAATAAGTGCCCTCCTTCCATCTCTTGACCTCTTGGCCGAGCAGCTTCAAAGTCAAGGCTCTTAGCTGTGATGTCTGAGACATCTAATTAAGAATCTTGACTCGCCTGCTTCCTAGCTTTAGGACCTTTGGCCGGTTACTTAACATCCCTAAACCTCAGGTCTATAAAATGGCACAACAATGTCTAGCTCATGGGGTTGCTTCGAAAATTGAAATACTTTGCATAGTATCTGGTTCATAGTAATACTCGATGTATATTCTCTGTTCCGGTTTTTAACTATTGCTTCTTTTGACTGCTGAGAATGTGAGATCAAGTCTATCAAGAGCTATCTGTGATGTATGGGAATCACTGAGTAAATAGCATTATATTCCTTCTCTGTGACCTCCAGTTCTTCTGTGCTCTAGTGCTTCCTTCAAAATGCACTCGAGTCATCTAAGAAACATATGTTCCTGTCATTCTCCTGCTTTTAGCTCTCTATTGCTCAGAGAAGTGAGTCTGCACTTAACTTGGCAAGCAACGTCTTCCCAGAGTGATCCTGTGCTCCCTGGGCAGCCTCTCTTCCCATCTTTCCTCCTCCTCAGTTATGTGACCTCCCTTTCTCACTCTGAATATGCCATGCCCTTTTGCTGTGCCAGGCTTCAGACTTGCTATTTCATCTTCTCATTAGGGTCATGAGTTCCAGGAGGCTCGTCTCCCAGGTCCTCCACTGAGAGTTGATTTCCTTTTTCTCTACGCCTGTGTTACTTGTGTGCAGCTTTGTAATAATACTTCTGAGTTGCAACTTACCTACTTTTGTGTTTTCTTCCTCCATGAGGCACTGTGATCCTCAAGGGAAGGACTGGTGTTTAGGTCATTGTTCACAGTCCAGTGGTTGGCATGGTAGGATGCTGCACATTTGGTGGCCATTTTGTTAGTGGTGAATAGTGAATGAAGAGCCCTAGAGGCAGTTCCAAAGGAGACTTCCAGAAATGTTTTTATTAGTACTATAGGAATAAGGGCAAATCTCCTCAAGTGTTCTCCTTTAAAGGGGGAACATTAATATAGAGGTTTAGTATCTGACATGTTTGTAAAGAGGTGTTTCCAACTGATTTATAGATGCATGAAGAGAAACTCCATTCAATTTTGTTAAACTGCTCCTTAGGATGAAGTATCTGACATCTCTACGATCATATCTGGGTCCCGTCTGTGCAGAGTGTGGCACAGGTGGAGGCAGATGGCGTCTTTGAGATGTCATCTTCAGTTGTCATAATGGATGAACAAAAAGGAAGGACAAGGAAGAAAACTCCTTCCTTGTCTCTGTGTGGGTGACCAAGGGACCCAAAGTGAGAAGGAAATTTGCTTTACTGGCAACTCAGAGAGAAGGTGAGGGGTGAGATACTTTCTTTTCCTTCTAGATCAGGTGGTGATTAGCATTAGAGGGTTTTGAGGAAGCACAGTTAAAGTTTAGGGCTCTGGGGTTTTGAAGGGCAGCAGAGAGGAAGGAGCCAGGAACATTTAGGGCTTGTTCAGGCTGACAAAAGACTGGTGCCAACATGATCTTTATGTTACCCACAGAGGTGAACTGATAAGGTCATTGTATCCTTATGTTACCCATCTCCATAACTGGAATATTTCTTTGATTTTACATAATCTGTGTTTTGGGGAGAAACACTTATGTAGAGACCCAGGAATTCTTTAGACAGCTATTAGTCAGCTTTCTGTCACTGTGACAAAACACCTGAGAAAATCAACTTAAAGAAAGGTTTATTTAGGTTCATAGTTTTAGAGGCTTCAATCCATGATCATGTGACTTTGCTGTTTGTGGGGAACCTGTGGTAAGGCTGTACATCATGGAGGGGAGCATGGTGAAGCAAACCTGCTCACCTCATGGTGGCCAGTAAGTCGGAGGGGAGAGAGTGGGAGGCGGATAAATGAGAGGTTGGGGTGGGCAGAGAAAGGAAGGTGGTCTGGGAACAAAATAAATTCTTTAAGGCCACATCCTGCTTCCTCTAACTAGGCCCCATGTTCTGAAGTTTCCACCACCTCCCAATAGTGCCACCAGCTGGGGACCAAGCCAAGATACATGAGTCTTTGGGAGATGTTCCAGAACCCAACTCTAACAACCATACGTGATCCTTTGGTATCTCTGTAGGAGTTTGCCTGTTATCATTTCTCTCAGACTCCATTTATTCTCATTAACCCATGAACAGATAATGTGGAGCATAGAATCCAGGTAGTGCTGGGATGGAATTATTCAGTAGAGATATAAAATAGTTAACGGGCAGAGAGATCACTAGACTCGGGCAATCCACACTGGGCACTGGTTCTGAGCATGGGAAAAATGAATTGACCCTATACATGCCAGAGGTTCAGGCTTTCTTTGGAGACTGAGAAGAAATTTACTAGAAGGAAGGAATAAGAGCCGAGTGAAGGGTTAATTTTTTTGGAATGAAGAATTACCTTTCTCACTCTTCAAGATTGGGATCTTGCCTTAGTTTCCTGGAAAACAAAGCCAGAGGTAGAGGGCTGATATTTATTATGTAATTGGAAATACAGCCCAAGGGACCAGGAGTGTAGACTGAGAAGATAAGAAAGGGTAAGAAGGAGAGCCAACGGTAAGGTTGCCTTATGGTTCTGCCTAAGAACAGTTGAGTCCTTAGGGTTCTCTCTGTATAAGAAAGATGACATCATGTACAGTAGTGATAGTTTTGCTTATCTTCAGGAACTTTGATTTTAAAGAAATGAAAATTTGGATGTCCCTTAACCCCTATCCGAACTACTTCCTAGGTCATTGGTTGACCCGGTCCACTGGAAACTGTTCCTTCAGAGAACCAGTTCCCTAATATGTTTCCCCACATTGCCAGATTTGTTAGATGGAAAATTTTCAGAGTACTTAAGAGAAGCAGAACCCAAAGAAATCATGGCTTCTTAATAGACCAGGATTACTTGGCTCCAGTTGAAGGAGTCCTAGGAGTAACCAGAACCTTGTGTAGAATTCATTTTAGTTCACCCCAAGGTGCTCCTAAGGATCGGTGGTGACTGTCATTGCCCCCTGTGAATGGTTCCACCACTCAGTTGGGATGAGCAAGTGGAAGTGGATCTGACCTGTGCAGGTGTAGGGGAGACTCCGGTCAGGACAGCTCTGGGCCTTGTTCCATCCTACCTGAGTGGAACGACAGTGGCATCCAGTGGCCCGTGGGACTAATCGCAGGTTGGAACTCTTCTCCATCCTCAAGCAGGAATCTTCTCCTGGGCCAGACTCATTCCTGATGAAGAGAAGTTGGGTGACCGGTCTGGGGTGGCTTAGATCGCTGATACGGGATCAGAGTCAGAGCCTGAATGGTGATGGGCAGACATACTAGCTGGACGGATAAACTATCTACAACTAGGATTTTCCTGAAATCTGTTGATGCGTTTTTTGAGTTGACTCTCTTTTTCTATTCTAGAAAAACCCACAGAGATTAATGAAGTGTCAGTGTTTAATAACACTTGTGTGAGGTGGCAAACAAGCTCAGGAAGAGTAAATTCCAAGATCGTGTACGTGGTAAGTTAAATGATCATTTTCCTGCTACGGCAGGAACAGTAACCCAGGGAAATATGACTCAGAAGGACTTGGTTCTGTAAGAACATCTCAGTCTAATTGCTTTCCAATCCCATTGCCATTTTTAAAAGGTGACTGGAATTTTTAAGATATCTCGATTGTTTTGTTATTTTGTACTTTAGGTTTGATCTGTTTGTCATTCAACAGGATGTAAACATGGGGGCTGCTTTTATAGTTGGTGTCATCCTTATTGCTGTTTCCAAGCACTCGGGTTCTCTCTCCAGAGCAAGCCTGGAAACATCTGCTGAGTTGGTGACAGAATGCAGCCAGCGGCCCTGGGGTTTGTGACTTCCTCCCTTTACCAGTGATTATTTGCAGGCAGCGTGGCACTCCCTAGACAGATTCCTCATTTATGTTGCTTCTTAGGGTTTATTGATTACTGGACTGATCGGACCTCATCATCAGAGACCTGATGGCCGAGGTTGACCATTTGTCCTCCCTGCTTGAGTCTTAGTTGATCAGACCAGCGTCCTAGTGGGGTCTCTTGTCTTTTCCTCTCTCTCAAAGATACACATAAAAGGGCAACGGCTGGACCCTGTGGGATCAGTTCATGAGGAGATAGTCAACTTGACTACAGACAGCAGGACCCCAGAAACGTGCCTTGACCTGTACCAAGGCACCAACTACACCGTGAGCATTTCCACAGCCCCTCCCAGGCGCTCTGTGCCTGCCATCCTTGGTTTCCAGACAGCTGGTAGGTGGAGGCGAAGTCTCATTTCCTCTAGAAAAATGCTAAGTGTAGGGTGCTGGGAATGTGCTTTAGCATGTACTGGGCAGGAGAGTTTCTGTTGGTTTTCTGAGATGTGTGTGTGTGTTTGTGTGTGTGTGTGTGTGTGTGTGTGTATAGTTACTTCAGGGGTCAGAGCTAGAACAGGTCTAGTAGGAAGATTCCTATTCAGTTTCTACAGAGTTGAAAAGTGAAGGCAGCCATAAGATATCACTGTTAGCAGAAGAGAGGAGTAGACCAAAGGGAGCTTTCAGAAGTGAGTATAAACTTCACTGCACATACTTGTCACATGGATTTTTTTAAAAACAGCACTGTGACAATTACAGTAAGCTTTTTTTTTTTTTTAAAGAATTCTTAATATTAAGACAGGTTTATAACATACCTTGAGAAACCATTGGTATCATTTATTATTTTGGGGAAGTTAACTAGCTGTTTGATGTCCCACTTAAGAAAATCTACCTCGGAATAAGAAGCTATGCTCCATTTGTGTACAATATGTCAAAATGCATTCTACTGTAAAATCAATCAATCAATCAATCCCTACAAACTCATTAAAAAAAAACTACCTCAACCCTCAGATATTGCTAGGTACTGGGAGGTGACATTGAAAGTCTGTCAACCTAAATAATGTAACAGCAACTATGAAATCACATAAGCTAGACCTCTCAATATCTATAGAGAAATAAAATAAAATAATTTCTTTTTAAGTAAATAATAGGAAAGATATCATAAAATTAATATGTATCTAGAGAAACTAAAAAATTAATGAACTGCAATGAATTTACAGGGATGTCTTTAAAAGGTCATCACAGGACTTGAAACTTACCTGTCACTGTGAGTCAGAGTAAGAGTTGGCTGTTCAGTCAGCTTGTTTACAGATATCTGATTACCTCTTCAAGTGACTTTCGCTGGGGAAAACATGGTTTTTGGGGTCAGATAGACCTGATTTTGCATCTTAACTCTGCAACCATTGAAGAACAAGCACAATTATAGCTGAGTTATTTAATGTCTTTGGACTGCTTTCCTCTGTCTGAAATTTTAAATGGAATTGGATTAAATGTGTAAGTTCATCTAGTGAGAATTAGCATTTATACTGGGGCGTCCCAGCTGGGAGAAAGGTATGTCTCTATCGTCATTCAACATTTCCCATCTTTCTCTGTTTATGTCTGTTCTATAAATTTGTCGTTCTCTGCCCTTCAGTCCTGCACATTCCATTGTTTGATTCCCTTTGGTTAAAGTTGGACACATTTGCTCATAAAAGTTTCACCTCGTTAAGAAAATGTTTCTTTGACAGCTTTGTCAGTTTTTCCCAAGATTTTTGGTCAGTTTATGTTTCCTAGATTTTCTTGAGTCCATTTCCATAATTTTAATTTTCTTTCAAAATGTCCATTCAGGCTGGGCGCGGTGGCGCCATGCCTGTAATCCCAGTGCCTCCAGAGGCCGAGGCAGGAGGATCGTGAATTCCAAGCCAGTCTTAGCACCTTAGCGAGGTTGTAATCAATTTAGTGAGACCATAAGCAATGTAGTGAGACCCTGTCTCAAAATAAAAATATAAAAAGTTCTGGGGCTGGGGCTGGGATTGTAGCTCAGTGGTAGAGCGCTTGCCTTGCAAGTATGAGGGTTTGATCCTCAGCACCCCATGAAAATAAAAAAATAAAGGTAAGATGTCCATCTACAACTAAAATATTAAAAACAAAAAGACTGGGGATGTGACTTAGTTACCAGTTACCACCCCCCCACACACACACAAAAAAAATGTTCATTTGGTAGAGATTTTTAAATATATTGGCAGAATGGCATATGGAATATTTGTTTACAACTCCTTTGGGGCTATAGGTTATATAATTCCAGGTTACACTGATTCTTAATTTTTTTCTCTCTCTTTAAAAGTTGATTTTCTTGGGTTGTCTTGTTACACTTTTCTTTTCTGGAAGAAAATTGTCTTTTCCTTTTCAAATTTGTTAATTTCTCTTACCTTGATTATTTTCATCTCCGTGCTTCCCTTAAGTTGATTATATTGTTCTATTTCTAAATTCTTGAGTTGAATACATAATTCAATTTACCCCCATTCTTTCCTATTTGATGATAAAAGTCCTTAATATTTTTTTCTCCTTTCTGGATTTGAGCTTTTGCAGAATCCCTGAGGCATTGATTCATATTCTGTTTATCCTTATTTTCAAAGCTTGATGTAATTGTTATTCTGATTTTCCTTTTGGTTGAAGAATTATTTATGAGAATGTTAATATATATTCTCTTTACCCTTACTTTCAAAGCATTATATAATTGCTATTTTGATTTTTCTCCTTTGATTGAAGAATTAATTATAATTATGTCATACAAGTGGTAGTTTTTTCCCTTTTTAATTTTTACACTTCATTGTTAATTTCTAGTTTTATTACATTTTGATATGCTTTGGGGGATTGATTGACATTTTCTTGGGCCTCACTATTTGGCCAAGTTTTGTCATTTCAGTAGTTGCTGGTTGATAAAGTGGAGGGTGGAGTAAGATCCAGTTTTATGTCAACCTTATTAATAAGGTTATTCAGGACTTCTGTTTTTGTTTTTTTCTTACACGGCCATTTTTCTCAGTTTCTCTTAGAGATTCTAATTGATTTGTTGCACAATATTGATGTTATGATATTTGTGTTTGTGACCTACCTTAATTACAGATTCTTTCACTAGTAGCAAATGGCTCATGGATCACATTGATATAGCTGAACTCTAGGAGTTAGCACATGCTGGGAATCTTTCCAGAAAAGCTTTTGTTTGAGTCGATCAGTTAATTCGCATTATTGTTACTTGTGACCTGATTTCCTTTTCTTCTATCATCTTATTTTTCTTTTCTTTTTTTTAATTATTATTTTCTTTTTTAAGGCTACCTTTTTATGTGTTGTTTTCTTTTTTGCTACACAAATTTCTTTTTCAATGAGTCAGGTAGTACAAATTTTTGCTTCTACTTTACAATTGACCACACTTTTAAGAACACCCTAATTGGGTGCATATTTCTGATTACTAATGTTAAGACTGAAAAAATTATTAACTTCTCCCTGAAGGAGACAGGGAAGTCAGCCTCTCTGTTTGCTTTTATTCCTTCCCCTCTCCCTTTTGTTGTAATTATTTTTTTGGTCTATTATGGCATTTTATTTTCAGCTTCTTAGTCTATATTGACTTATAGCAATACTTACAGCAGTTATCTAAGCTTAGGTATGTGGGGTTTTTTTTAATATTTATTTTTTAGTTGTAGTGGGACACAATATCTTCATTTATTTATTTTTATATGGTGAATGAACCCAGGGCCTTGCCTGTGCTAGGAGAGCGCTCTACCTCTGAGCCACAATCCCAGCCCCTAGGTATGTATTTTAATAGTTTCAGTGCTTACTGCCAATCTTTTAATGCCACTTTTTTTTTTGTATTTTTCCTCTATTTTTATATATCTATCTGAACGGTGATTTTTGTCTTTTCCTCACTGAGGGAATAGGATACTTTCAGAGCCCATAATTATCTGAGAATGTTGTTTTTGTTGTTGTTGCCTTTGCATGTGAATAAGGCCTGATTGAAGATAAAATTCTCCAGACATAAACCTTTGTTTTCAGAATTCTGAAAGCAGTTCACATTGGCTTTGGGAATTTAAAGCTTTGAAAAGGAAGCTTTTTATTTTTCCTGGTGCTAAGGATGAAACCCAGGGCCTTGTACATGCTAAGCGTGAGCTCTGCTACTGAGCTACATTCCCAGTCTCTCTGTCTTTTTTTTTAATCCTATGTAAGCAATCTGATCTTCAGTTTGGATATCATAATTAGCAGTACATTAGCAGTAAAATTCAAGACATTAATTGTTTATGCATGCACCTGGTAAGTGTTTATTGACTACTTATTTTGTGTCTGACATCGTTGTAGGCACTGGGAGTTCCATAGGGAAGAGACAGGAATCTCTTTCCTCATGAAATGTTAGTCTATGGGGAACATAAATGTTCATATATATATATTTTTTTTTACTGAGTTTTCCTACTACCCTGTAAGATTTTTTAATCTTAATTTTGGCTTATCCATATACTAGGAACATTTTCTTTCATTTAATTTCTGATTATCGTTTGTTTTTTTAAGTTTTGTTTTCGGCTCTTCCAGCTAACTATGTGGAATTTCTGTCTGTCCACATTGGTTTCCCATTTCCTCCTTTGTAACGTCTGTTGTTTTTCCTCTGCCTTCCGGGAATATGCAGCAAGCTTGTTTTCTCTATACATTTGTATACTCAGTGCATTTATGGATTGGCAGGTCTCATCATTGCCATTTCTAATGCACTTTGAATTCTGTTGTCGCACTTTCATTTCTTCTTTTTTTTTCCTTGGTCTCATCTTGTTCCCTTTTTATTTCTGCCTCTTTCAACTAGTTTTTCCTCTGCTGTCATATTCTTTTTCTGTGTCATCCTTTTCTCTTGTTGAAATCCATTTTTAAATGTTTTAACGGAAAGTACAAAATGGTTGCTGCCTAATTTTATCATCACTTTCCTTATTTTTTTCCCCAGAAGTATGTTCACTCTTTGCCCCCCTAAACATGATTTTCCCTCCTTCCCTGTCCTCAGTAGAATCATTTCATAGTACTCCCCACCTTTAAAAAAATTTTTTTTTTGCAGGGGGAGTGGCTTCTAGATTACTCCTCTGGGGAAGATGAAAGTTCTGTCTAGGTCTGATATTTCCCTCATAATAAGATGGATGGCATTCCTTTTGATCTCACCTTTTCCTGGATAATATTAATGTGCTTATCTCGGATCTCCTCCTGAAGAATTCACTGTTGGTTGGGTGAGCCAGCCTCCTTTGGGGAGCAGCAGCATGAAAGCCCACAGCCAGAGCTTTAATCTGAGCAACTTGCTATCTTAATTGGTAAACTGTTGGCCTTGGGCCAGCTCCGCATTGCCTGGCTTCATTATGGTGCTATAATCACTGAGGCAGGAAGAAGGCCCATCTCTTTTGTCAACCCTGGCTTTCTGTCAGTGGAACCTGCAGGTCCCCAGGGCTCTGCTTGGAATTTCTTCCTTGTTACTGATCTCCAGTGTGCTAAGGAATTATTACTAGCAATAATAATAGTAGTCTATGTACTTTTTTTGCCCTGACTGCCTATCTGAATTGTCTAGTAAACTTAAAATATATATATATATATATATATATATATATATATATATATATATATATATATATATATTTGTCCAATTGCTACCCTTACATATGAGGACTGGCCTTTCTTCCCAACTTGAATGCAAATTTTGACCCATTTTTACTTATTCTCAGTCATTTCTGTTAGGAGTGGGTGTGGGAAGTGGAAACCTTTCTTCATGCTTCCATCTTCCCCTGAATTCAGACTGTAATGGCTGTATAATGTGAGCATCATCCTGAGTGGGAGCTCTGCAGACAGAACTGCTTACGTACTGTTTGTGCACAGACTTTATGTGGTATTTTTTTTACGTACGAACATATATTTCTTTCATATATACATCTGGTATCCTTCAAAATCATATGCATACATGTGGCTATTTTTTCTCTGTTGTCCTTATGAAATCTTTAAAAGAAAAGTTGTGAAGGTAAGGGAGCGCATATATGATAGGTCTTCAAATTCTTTCTCATAACCAAATTTATATATTTTTCAGTAATAGGAATATTTTCTCTCAGCTGATTGCCTGTTGCTGAGTATGTTGGTGATATTGAAAATATTGTGGACAGTCCCTATTTTGACTAGGATAACTTATTGTTATCATTGATACCTCTTTAGGTGGCAGAGATTCCCCATGTGAAAAATACATATTAAAGGTAGCTATAAAATAGTTTCTGCCTAATAGACATTTCAACTTTTTCTTGGGGGCTGGCAATGAAGTTCGGGTGAGAGTATGTGTGAGGCCCTGGGTTTGATCCCCAGAACCACAAAACAAAAATTAAAAAAAATAAAAACCAAACATATTTTTCTCATTGACAGAAAATATAGAGACTTGTGTACTAGGAAATTTGCTTTTCTTAAAAATTACCATGTTACTCCTGGACTCTCTGTGAGTTCTTTAGTTTGTTATAAGAAACCTGTATTTTTTTTTCTACATTAATAAATTAATACATTGGAGGAATGGATTCAACTGCCAGAGGGGTGGAATGACTTTTTCTGAACAATGGTTGAACAAGTCTGCCTTCTGATTATTTTATGGCCTTTGGGGAACACAGCTGAGTAGCTCTTGATATACCGACTTCTCTGAGAACAAGTACTTCCTGTCAGGTTATCTACTCTGGTCATTTCCTAGGTTGAAAAGCACCTGCCCTGAGACTTTGAATCCAGGGTCTTTGATTTTTATTTACCGTTTTCCTCATTCTCAGACTTTCTGGCTACTTACTTGTCTGCTTATCTTCATGACATTTTACTCTGGAGTATCCAAGTGATCCGATTAACTTTCTAAAAAGGGCACAGCTTTATTAATTTACAGTGATATTTAAATATTTCATTTGATTCTCTCAACAGCCTATGATATAAGAAAGCAAGCTGGATTATTGGATTTCACCAATGAGAAACAGGTTCAGAAGGGTTCAGGGACTTGGATTTTCATACAACTAGGAAGTTGTAGAGCCAGGACTTGAAGCTAAGCATGCTGATGCCAGAGTGAATGGCCTTCCTGGTTTTATACGCCCTCCCAGCTCTCTGAAGGTGTTGGAGTCTCACCTGTCCTTAGCCATGATATGTTTTGCTAAAATGATGCAACCTTTCCCTGTGTTCTCTCTTGTCTTTTAGAAGATGATCTCTTGGAAGATGATGGAATTTTCAATATTTCAATATTTAATGAAACTTGTTTGAAATTGAACAGGCATTCTAGGAAAGTTGGATCAGAAAGAATGTACCAAGTAAGAAGATCTCTTATGCTATCTGTCAAAGAATGGTCTTAGAAATGTGGGTGACCTCCAAGTGATGATCCATACTATTGGAATAAAATTTTAGACAGTTTGTGCTTTTTCTTTTTAGAGATGGATATGAGATGGATGGGAGGGACTGAATTGAAAGAAAGACACTGTATTTAGTGACTTATTATTTCCCCTGCCTGAATATTTCACACTCTTATTTTATTGCATTTAAAAATTACAGGTTATTTTACTGTCAAATTCATATTTGGACAAGGATATTTAAGGAACTCGTTGCATGATTATTGGACCTCATTTAACTTGATTTTTTTAAACAACATAAGTCAAATTATAAGTTGATTCAGACAGGAATTAAGCTTTACTTTTCTATCATTTTTAGTGACTAGCAAATCATCTGGCAGAGAGTAGTAAGTATTAAGTTAAAGTTAAGTATTTATTCTATAATGATTACTCCAAGAATATCATCTATTAGGATCTGGAAGTTCCAATTCAAACAAAAATGTAAATAAACAGGCAACTACATCATGGTATAATGAGGACTTTGATAAAAAAATAAAGAATGAAATGGGAGATTTGTGTGTGTGTGTGTGTGTGTGTGTATGCACACGTGTGTCTCTAGGAAAAATTTTTTAGCAAGAAGCAAAGACTATGCTGAGTCATAAAAAAATGAACAGGAATTAGACAGTTACAAGAACTGGGGTGAGGGTGAAGAGGGTGCTGTGGTGAGTCGAGTAGCATATTGGGTAATAGAGAAAGCAAAGGGCGTTAAGAAGAAATGAGACAAAAGTCTAAGCAGTGGCCCCATGTGAGAAGCCCTGTATGCTGTGCTTCTGTATTTGAATTTTATTTTTATGTCTATGCAAAGAATTTTAAAATGGCAAGTGAAACATTCAAATTTCCACATTAGAAAGAACCCTGAACCTAGAAACATATTCTAGCACCCAAATAACTTAATATATGATGAAAGTGATTTTTTTCTTTTCAAATCAGTTGAGAAAGCAAAGTTTATTAAATGAATGGACTGGGACCATTAACCAACTACTTGGTTAAGAAAATAAATGACTTTTATCAAAGTGACTGAAGAGTAAAAATTTTTAAAAAAATATTTTGTTTTAGTTGTAGTTGGACACAATATCTTTATTTTTATGTGGTGCTGAAGAACGAACCCAGTGCCTCACATGTGCTAGTTGAGCGCTCTATCGCTGAGCCACAAACCCAGCCCTTGAAAAGTAAAATTTTTTCAAGATTGTTTTTAATGTGTTAGACAAAGATTAACTTATGTAATATGTGAAACAGTCTAAGTCCAAAGGAAAAAAGTAAACATTCAAAAGCAATTTGCACAAGACAATATACTTATTGTCCAAACACACATAAACACATGTTATATGTCACCAGTAATGGTCCAGAAGGGTTCTGTGAGATCTTGGGGGAGCAGCTCTGAGGATGACCTAGTCTAGGGGTTGGCCATGGATATGGGTGACTGAAGTGGAGTGGAGGAAGTTCATAGCATCAAGTTCAAGGAACTCTGAGGCCACATTTTGATGGCTTATCTATGAGGACACTTAAGTTATTTAGGAGAATTCAAGGAGTTGGGGGAGAGAGGAATCCTTATGAACCAAGGGTCAAGGTCTTAGATGACCTGGAAGACTGATGGGTAAGAGAGTGATTGACAGGGATGGGGAGGGGTGAAGGGTAGGATAGCCAGGAATATTGGCATCAATGCCAACACTAAACCCATGGTCTCCACCAGATAAAATGCACTGGTTGATCCGGGGCCAATCATCTGACTTCTGGGATCTTCCCCTGTAACTCTCTGTATCTGTTGCTTGAGTGGTGGTGGGTCGAGTGTGATTGGTTAGCAGTATGTGTGGTGACTCTGTGGATGAAAAGCTTTTCACTAGAGCTCTAATGGGAAGGAGCAGCTGAAGTCCCATTGTACAGTTACTGCAAAATCTGAGGTAGTCCTGAAAAAGTTTAAGTACTGTGGACTGTGAAGCTCATCTATGGATTCCTTACAGTGAAAAGAAAGCAAAAGACTTTTGCCCAGTAGCTCCAGTGCAGTCCTTTTCACTTGAGTGGGCATCAAGGGATTTTATTATTCTGCAATGTATTTATTCATCCAAGATTTGTCTGTCTGTCATGCAATTTAGTCGTAGTCTTATACCTTGTTGAGAGAGAAATTCAATGGGTAAGGTAAGATAACTCTAGTAAGTACATTCCCAGTTTAGCTCACTGTAGTATTAAAAATAATTCTCAATAGGTAAAGATAAATGAAACTTTCATGTTTTGTCTCCATTTTGCTTATAGTCTAGACATCTGCAAGCCAACAGAAAATTTAATGCAGCGCTTTCTTTTATTCTCATGGCAGTTTAAAGTTCTGGGTCAAAGATGGTATCTGGATAACTTTTATCATGCAACATCTTTTAACCTCACAACGAAGGAACGAGTTCTGGAAGTGTGTTTGGATTTGTACCCGGCAACCCAGTATACAGTGAATATCACCCTCCTGAGCTCTCCTGAGCAGCACTCAGTACAGATAATGATAACAACTGCACCAACAGGTAGGTGGAGATGACTTCCTGTTTTTGTACCTCAGGACAAGGTAAATATGTAAATTGATCTGTACAGTGTTGGGGAGCTTGGAGGTGGGGGTCAGGAGACTTGTGTTCTAGTTCTAACAAGCTACCAGCTTTGGCTGGGGTTCAGGATACCTTAACCCTACCACTTAGCCCTTTCCCCACAGGGTTCTGGCTTATAGAGGAACAGACTACTTTATCCAGGGATCCCTGGTAGTCCTCGATTGAGAATTCTGTAAAGCCTTTTATGACTCACCCTAACTTTAAGATGATCCTCACCTCAGGGGTGTATAACTAGAACCAACCTCCAGGAGATAAAAATGTGAGCTTACTGTGCCTGGCACCAGCAGAACCAAGAGGCTCCCTTATTGGGCCATAAGTGAGCACATTTACTCAACATAGATAGAGAGCCTGAAGGTCAGACACCTTGGAAACTTCTTTTGTGGCCCTTTGAGGAAGCTGCTTGGAGGCCGGCTGTGTTAACTGCACAGCTCCCCCTAGTGGGACAAAGAATCTCTACCATTTCTCCTGTTCTTGAATCTTGGGGTATAACAAATAAATTTCCAGGTAGCCACAAGAGCCTGTCCCTTTGAAGGAAAACAGCAGTATAGTGCAGGGCCAGCTCTGATCCTGAATCCTTCTCTCATATTTGCCACAGCTCTGGATGGCTTTCGGGTGGACAGTTTGGTCTTTGCACTCAGAAGACTCTGAAAGGCATGAGACACGAATGTTCTCCATGGGGGTCTCATGTGTTAGTAAGCAGAGTTGTCTGAGTAGCTTATTAAGATACTGGTTCCCAGGATCCATTACAGAAGTTCTGATTCAGCAGGTCTGGGGTGGGCACCCCCAATTTTCATTTCTAGCAAGCTTCCAGACCTTGCTGAGACTGCTAGCCCACATTTTGAGCAACATTGAACTAACCACATAGATCTTAGCTCCTTCTGGGCAATTTAAAGGCCTTCATGGGCAGGAACATGATGAAAAAAAAGAAAAAAAAGGCAGGGGGAAAAGTGGTAGTTAAATAATTCTACCTGCTCATGTATAAGAGGCCTGCATGTTATAACTGTGTTGCCTGATTGATGAAGTTTTCCTGATAGTCAGATATGTACCTCATCAGTTCCTGCATTCCAGCTGCAGAGACCGAGAGTCCCCAATTCTTCCCAGGGTGTTCCACTCTCCCGTGGCATCTCTTGTCCTTACATTCCACATACTGGTCAGAATATCCACATTTTTACAGGGAGAAACTGAGTCTTAACCCTCCTTTCACTGAGGTTACACAGGATGAACAGACAGACAGATGAGAAGTAAAGCATCCGCTTCATTGATCTGGGAGAGTTCTCAAGAACTACCCCAATACAGATTTCAGGTAAAAGCTACATTGGAGAAGGAGGAGGTTTAAGTACATGGGCAATTGAATCTGCAAGGGAGCCTTGGCTAGGTTTCCCACCCAGCCTTAGGCTGAACAACAGAGAGAGGGACAGTGGGCAGACTGTTATTTCCTGGAGACTGGAGATACATGCAGTGCCCCTTGTACTTGGGCAAAGGCAAGTTCTAGAGAGCAAGAGTCTGTGTCTTGTTTGGGCAGTGATTTGTGATATATGGACTCTACCCACTGATAGCCTCTTATCAGTCAGCTTACATATTTACTGTTCCTTCCTTGAGGTTTAATGAGTAGGGAATTTTCCTTTCCTTTATGGAAATGAGAAGACAGGTTAAGTAAGCGACCTTGAGCACACTGGAGCAAGGTAATTGACCTCTGTGATGTGGAGGTTGGACAGGAAGGATCCATTTTAGTCCCAGGAGTCTATGTTAGGAAAGCAATTCAAATTATTTTTAGGTTCCTTCAATTCATTTCTTTCAACATCCAGACTTCTTGATTGATCTGTTTACTGTATTTATTTCATTTATCAAATGTTGTATTCTTATTGTAACATACTATTTATTCATGTACTAAAACATCAATCTTTTATTATTTATATGTCAAACACTGTTTTACAGTTTCTTTTAATTTTGATAAACAATACTTTTGATATAAATCATTTAGATTTCTTTCTTTTTTTAAAATATTTATTCTTAAGTTTTAGATGGACACAATATCCTTATTTTACATTTATATGGTGCTGAGGATCGAACCCAGTGTCTTATGCATGCTAGGAAAGCACTCCACCACTAAGTCACAACCCCAGCCCCAATCATTTAGTTTTCTATGTAATCAAATCTACTAATCTTTTCCTTTGTGATTTATTACATTAATATTAAATGTGTAATTTTTAAAAATAAAAGAATAATTAAATCCCATCTACTTATAAGAAAAACTTTAAGTGACTCGTATGAGTATATAACATAAAAGATAATAGGTTATAAGTCTAAGCTAAAGAAAAAAAGGTAAAAAATGGCAGGAACATAAAAGAAGTAAGAACAAGGTTAAGAATAATTTATATCCTTATAACCCATTTGCTTGTTCATTGGTGGTTCACATATTTGGATGTAAGCTTTCTACCGGTCTGGTCAGAAAGAGAGCTGCTACCTTGTCCATAATGTTATAACATGGCAGTGTTTTTCACAAGTATATATATTTTTCCTAACACGAAGATCAGATAGGCGTTTCTGATTTCAGGGGGTCTCATAAATAGGACGATGCATGAACAGCATTTTGTGAGGGGTTTATATGTCTGATTTCTATGTTGCCTGCCCACATAGCTCATTATATTATGGGAAAGCACAGTTCAGCATGGGTGTTCAAGGAAAGATGCGCTGGGAATGCCTGCCCCCTACAGATCCGGCTTGACCCAGGACCAGGTCCAGGGCTTTTAGACTACTGGAGGGTATGATTGGAAGCCATTTCTTTCAATCAGTGTTCCCTAAATATTGTTTCTCTTAATTGAGATTTGAAGTTGAGTCATTCTGTTCCCTCTCACAATCCCCAGGGAGCATTATTCTGTGTGGCACAAGAATACAAGAACTTGAGCTTGAGTAGAAGGCTACCTGCTTGTGTTGGAAGGTTGAGCCCAGGGCATTATCTTCCAGTGAATGGATGATTGAGCCCCCCAAATTCGTCTCCATATAATAATGTAGTCACATAATTTTAGCTTGAAAAATTTCATAGTGGTTCTAACCAGATACCAAATTTGTCTAAAGAAGAGTTTTTAAAAAATAACAAACTCCCAGTCTCTGACAGTGTTCTATCTTCTTGTTCTTTCTAAGATAAACTGCTCCCAAAATGTACATCGAGGATAACCAAAATGATAACTGCTATTTATAGAGCAGAAATAAAAATAGTAACTTTGCTTTCAGAATAGTGGATTTATAGCCATTCTTTCTGATAATATTTAGATTGCAAAGCCAACTCTCTATTTAGACTATTTCTAATTAGGGATTTTAGAACCTTATCATTTATATATAAAACCATGTTTGTTTTTTAGCTCCTTTTAGCAAAGGTTTGCATGCAATTAGATATTTCTAAAATAATTTTCATAAATTAAAAAAAAATGAAAAGAGAGAACATAATACTTTTCCAAGGGAATAAAGCCCTAGAAATCCCACACTCTTTTCATTTTTTTTGATTGACACATATTTGTACAAATTTATGAACTACAATTTGATGTTTTGATCCATGTAATAATTGAGTAATGATTGATCCACCTGGGGTAATTAATATATCTATCACCTTAAAATTTTATTATGTCTTTAGGTTGAGTACATTTAGAATTCTCTTTTCTAGCTATTTTGAGGTATTTAATGCATTTTAATTATATTCATCCTGCTGTGCTGGAGAACACCAGAACTTATTTCTTCTAACTATAATAAAATATGGATTATTTCATGAATTTTCATGTCACTCTTATACAGCAGCTGTGCTAATATTCTCTATTATTCCAACTGTAGCATATGTGCTGCCAAAGTAAGCACAACCATAATTTTTTTTTGAGGGGGGAGTACCAGGGATTTAATCCAGGAGTGCTTTTCTATGATCTACATCCCCAGCCCTTTTTATTTTTATTTTGAGTCAGGGTCTCATTAAGTCCTAGGGTCTTGCTAAGTTGCGGAGGCTATCCTTGAACTTGCTACCCTCCTGCCTCAGTCTCCCAAATTGCTGAGATCATAGGTGTCTGCCACCACTCCTGGCATAATCATAACTCTTTTTTTTTTCTTTCCAGTACTGGGGTTTGAACCCAGAGCCTCATGTATACCAGGCAAACCTTTACCACAATGTCCCTGGCCCCACAATCATAACTCTTAAAGTGGATTTATGATACAGGGTTTCTAATAAATGTGCAGTTTAAGATCGATGTTGACCTGAAAAATCTTTCCTGGTGACTGATTTCTGTGCTCATTATCCAGGTTCAAACAATAGATAATAAAGACCATCAATAATTTAACATTGTTTTTGATATTTTTCCATAAATTGAAAGATGGTATACCAGTAATCTGTGATGAAAGAGTCACATCTGCAGTCTACTTGTTTCTCTTAGGACCCATTAGCTTGAGAAAAATCGTACCTGCAATTGGTCAAGACAGAAATTGGCATTTTAAAAATATTATCTTTACTCATAAAGATGAATAAGTTATTTAGAATTGGAGCCCTCCACTAAATGGTCCTAACTGCTGTGAAGGCAACAAGTTCATCTCATTCTTAATCATCTGTATAAACACGAGGCTCCAAGACTGAACATGCATCTCAGTGTTTTTTCCCTCACAAACTCACGCTGAAACTTAATTCCCAACTTAAGTCCCATCTTAATGGTGTTTGGTGGTGGGACCTTTGAGAATAATTAGGAATACAAGAGATCATAAGGGTGGGGAGCCCATGATTAGATTAGTGGCTTTATAAGAGGAGGAAGAGAGACCCAGTTAGCATGCTTGCTGTATCTCATTTTGTGATGCCATTGATCTCCATACCATGACCACAGGAAGGCCCTCACCAGATGCTCAGCAGATGCAGTGCCATGCTTCAGAACCCCGAGTCGAGTAAACCCTCTTTTCCT